CACCCACACCAACACCCACACCCACACCGACACCGACAACGACCACGACTACGACACGGTCACGACCACGACCACGAGCACGAGCACGAGCACGAGCACGAGCACGACCACGACCACGACCACAACCACAACCACAACAGCAGCAGCAGCAACAACAACAACAGCAGCAGCAGCAGCAACAACAACCGACAACCAACAACCAACAACCAACAACCAACAACCAACAACAAAACAACCAACAACCAACAACCCACAACCCACAACACACAACACACAGCACACAACAAACAACAAACAACAAACAGCAAACAATCAACAACCAACAACCGACAACCAACAACCGACAATCAACAACCAACAACCAACAACTCCAACAACCCCGACAACCACAACAACCACAACAACAACCAACAACAACCAACAACCTACAACCAACAACACACAACACACAACCGACAACCAACAACAAGAAGAACAACAAGAACAACAACAAGAAAAACAAGAAAAACAAGAAGAATAACAATAATAAACAACAAGAACAAGAGCAACAAGAACAACAAGAACAACAAGAACAACAACAACAAACAACAACCACAACAACAACAACCACAACAACCACAACAACAACACCAACACCAACACCAACACCAACACCAACACCAACAACAACAACCAACAACCAACAACCAACAACCAACAACCAACAACCAACAACCAACAACCAACAACCAACAACAACAACAACAACAACAACAACAACAACAACAACAACAACAACAACAACAACAACAACAACAACCAACAACAAACACAAACAACCAACAACAAACACAAACAACAAACAACAAACAACAAACAACAAACAACAAACAACAAACAACAAACAACAAACAGCGAGCGCTACCGACTCAACACTTTTCAATTTCCCAACAACCAACAACCAACAACCAACAACCAAAAAACAACAAGCAACAACAAAACAACCAACAACAAAACAACCAACAACCAGCAACCAACAACCCACAACCCACAACACACAACACACAACACACAACAAGCAACAATCAACAAAAAACAGACAACAAACAACAAACAACCAACAACCAACAACCAACAACCGACAACCGACAACCGACAACCACCAACCAACCACCAACAACCAACAACCAACAAGAAGAACAACAAGAAAAACAACAAGCACAACAACAAGAACAACAACAAGAACAACAACAAGAAAAACAAGAAGAACAAGAAGAAGAACAATAATAAAGAACAAGAAGAACAACAAGAACAACAAGAAACACAATAACAACAAGAACAACAAGAAAAACAAGAGCAACAAAAGCAACAAGAACGACAACACCGACAACAACGACAACCGCGACAACCGCGACAACCGCGACAACCGCGCCAACCGCGCCAACCGCGCCAACCGCGCCAACCGCGCCAACCGCGACAACCGCGACAACCGCGACAGCCACGACAACCGCGACAACCGCGACAACCGCGACAACCGCGACAACCGCGACAGCCGCGACAGCCGCGACAGCCGCGACAACCGGGACAACCGGGACAACCGCGACAACCGCGACAACCGCGACAACCGCGACAACCCCGACAGCCGAAACAACCGCGACAACCGCGACATCCGCGAAAAACGCGAAAAACGCGAAAACCGCGAGAACTTCGAGAACATGCGAGAACCGCAAGAACCGGGACAACCGGGACAACCGGGACAACGACAACCGCGACAACCGCGACAACCGCGACAACCGGGACAACTGGGACAACCGCGACAACCGGGACAACCGGGACAACCGGGACTACCGGGACAACCGCGACAACCGCGACAACCGCGGCAACCGCGGCAGCCGCGGCAACCGCGGCAACCGCGGCAACCGCGGCAACCGCGGCGACCGCGGCAACCGCGGCAACCGCGGCAACCGCGGCAGCCGCGGCAGCTGCGACAGCTGCGACAGCCGCAACAGCAGCGACGGCCGCGACGGCCGCGACAGCCGCGACAGCCGCGACAGCCGCGGCAACCGCGACAACCGCGACAACAGAGACAACAGAGACAACAGAGACAACAGAGACAACAGAGACAACAGAGACAACAGAGACAACAGAGACAACAGAGACAGCAGAGACAGCAGAGACAGCAAAGACAGCAGAGACAGCAGAGACAGCAGAGACAGCAGAGACAGCAGAGACAGCAGAGAGAGCAGAGAGAGCAGAGAGAGCAGAGACAGCAGAGACAACAGAGACAACAGAGACAACAGAGACAACAGAGACAACAGAGACAACAGAGACAACAGAGACAACAGAGACAACAGAGACAACAGAGACAGCAGAGACAACAGAGACAACAGAGACAACAGAGACAACAGAGACAACAGAGACAACAGAGACAACAGAGACAACAGAGACAACAGAGACAACAGAGACAACAGAGACAACAGAGACAACAGAGACAGCAGAGACAGCCGCGACAGCCGCGACA